TATTTTAGAAGAGCATCTGGCCTTCTCTGGTGTCTGCTGGGGAAAAAAAAATACTAGAACAAATTTAGTTGAGGACCCCTGGAATAAATTAAACAGTTGACTAAATTTTCTAAATGGAATTTGAACTCAACCTCCATCCTGTCAGCACTGTCACACAGGGCTGCTCTACTAAAATAAAGTTCAAGTATTATTTTATCTTAATGTATCAAAAACCAAAAACTGCTTTGTTTACAATCTAAACTGTTTTGATTGTAGCTGTAGCTGTGCTTGGGGAATGCATCACTGACACTTTGGAAATGAAACTCCAAGGCGCCAGGGCCCAAAGAAAAAAGGCCTAGGGCCTAAAGGGTTAAATCGGATATAAATAAATATAAAGTTCCCCGTTATTGTAAATAATTGTGTGTAACCTGTAAAATATTCTGTGTGCATTTGTTTTTGTTTTTTTCAGACTCTTCACGATCCCTCAACGTGCTAACTAGATAACCCACTATTAAAATAACTGGTCCACGTGGCAGGGGTGAGGAGTGAGCACCACCTCACCCCTGCCACGTGGACCTCAAGGGATAAACCATCAGTCCTGCTCAATGGTCAACTTTCCTCGTGGGGTCACCCACAAAGACAGTGGGAGGGTTAAGATAAAATGAGGAGACACTTAAAAGTCTAATTTTCTTCTGAGCGTACCTGTTCCTAATATGAAATAAAATTACTGAGAAAAACCTCCAAGTCTTCTCACGTTTAAAAGAAAGTGCTCATCTGTCATACACGACTACACCATTTAGAATTTAGAAAAGTGGTCTCCAGGTTTTACCGGTCCAATAATCCAAATCCAAATGCAAACCAGGTTTTACTGGCTGATTGATCTTGTCCTGGTTTTTTATTTTAAGAGCACTGCTGTTTTCCTGTAAATTGACAGGCCGGAGCATTCATCTAAGGCTCTACGATCACTCTTACATCAGACTCTTGTCGGAACAGCACAGTGGTTGAACCATGGTTGAGTAAGTTCAGAGCGGTTTACATAGACATTGACTTGCTGATCTGATAAAAAGTTGAATGTGTAAAAGTCACAACAACAATTAAAAGCTGGAAATGATAAGAAACAGTGAAATAAAAAATTTAAAGGTTCTATATACTGAAATATCCACCTTTTGGAGCTTTTGACCATGCTATTTTGTCATTTCCTCATGAAAAAGGTTCATGCATGCACTTTCCTGTTTCAGCTGCAAAAGCCTGGGTGGGGGTCCTGCTCTGTCATCCCAAGCCCCCCCCCCACCCCCCCCCCCCCACCCCCCCACCCCCATCTAGATCATTCTGTCCTAAACTATAAACACGAAATGCCCAGTCTCTCTGTGTAGCTAGCGAGGAGTTTAATATCCATTATGAATAAGTGATTTCTTTCTTATGTAGTCTGCACTTTAAATAATGTCTAGAAACCCCAAAAAACAGGTCTGCAGCTGTGTACTATTGTGGAGTTCACAATAGGGGAAGGTGGGTTTTATCAAATTCAAGGATCTTATTTCCTGGTAGAAGAAATGGCTCAAGAAAATAACTTATATTTCATAAAAAATGCAATACAATTCATATTTAGGACTACACTCATTTGTATTTAGTATCACACTTGAGCTTCCATGGCAAAATTTTACAATTTTAGGTGAATACTTTTTTATTTATTAACAAAATGTCTATCAAGGACTTGAATTCTTCACATTCATGCCCATGTTCTTTGGAAGCATTTTTTCTAATGATTGAAAGAACGGGACCAATGGTTTCCAACAGCTTTTTTTCAACTTTTTGTCCACATTCAGACAAAAAGTCCCCAAATTCAGACTCTGAGCCTTTCACAGCTTGGAGGATAAAAAACAAGGAACAAACGAGAAACAAGGTCTTAACATTTCAAAGCTCTTTACTAAACGTGACACAATCAGAACCGGGTGCCAAAGCTGAATGAAATGGAATTAACAAAATCAATGAAATATTAAAGAACTTTCATAATGTGATAAAATGCGAACAAACCAAGATCATGATGCATGTGCTGCTATATTAATATTAACCAGAGCCTGTTAACCAGAAACAACTGCACTTTAGAGGGAGTTCAAGCTCAATATTGATCTTCTTGACTGCTTGGTCCAAAACTTATTAGGGGATTGCACAAAAGTAGCACACTGTATTACCAGGTATCCTACTTTACACTTTATAAAGCACTTTCTTCTATCGTGAAAAAGGCCTAAAATAATCACGTTGAGCCATGACAGCACTTCAAACCAAACCAAACAGATGGGACTAAACCTGCATTAATACCACTCCAAAGCGAGGCGGGGGCTTTGGTGGAAAAGCTTCTTGAACTTCTATTTAAAGCCTTCCAAAATTTCATCAACAGTCTCATTGAGGTAGGTCAGAAACAGCGGGTGAAAGCTTTGATGGTCACAAGAATATAATATTAGAAAACAGCTTCTAACCGCAATGGCGTGACGTCAAATTTTCAATCGGACCTGCCACTCAAAAGGGCAGCCAACTGCCAATCACCTGTTCCTGCAGAACATTAATGACCCTCATTATGTGCCAAGCCCATATGGCATGGTGTGTGTGTGTGTGTGTGTGTGTGTGTGTTTTACAGCTTGTTTGCCTATGTGTCCCCACGTCTGCTCCACCACTCTGAAAGCAGATTGCAGTGAGGATAGGGCCAAGCTCTTGGTCACCTCCCTTAGCATCTCATTGCCATACACTGACAGAGGAAATATGGCCGAGAAGACAAAGGGGTGGGGGGTAACCATAATGGACTCTGCATCTGCTTCAGAATGTCATTCCAGATGTCCCCGTCTGTTTCTAACCGGAGAAGGAGAAGAAAATAAGGCAACAGGGGGGTTACATTTAAAGCCTTTGAACAGTATAAAGCCAAACTTCTTTCCCTTCAAAGATTATTAAAAATGTCCGTCTTCATAACTGTCATTTGTGTTTGAAAAGTAAGTTATGTGAATTCCAGAGGGGGTAAATAAATCAGAGTGTCACAGGATTTACCCTCTATGCCTACAGACAAAATTGAAAAGTAGAAAATAATTCTGAGACGGGTCAAAACCCCCGTAGACCCTTGTATCGTTTTTGATAAACATGCAAATTACTTGTTCGCCCATGAAATGGAAACTCATCCCCAAGCTTCACTCATGCAGATCACTCAAACTAACAAAGAAGAAAAGGTTTTCCTACAAAAAAAGTCAAATATATTTCTGGGAAGCACAATGACAGATGCTCTCTCTAATAACTACTATTAGAGAAGCAGCTGATTGGCTTGGAAGGATGATCGCTCTGTTCTGGTTTGATGATTTCAGTGTGAAGTAGTTAATGAAAGGGAGTTAACTTGAGGCAGGGAACATCAAGGCTGTATTCAGAGGTAAATAACTGACCTAACCCTACGCTACTACTACCTACTGAGGTGCTAAGGCACAAGGAAGTCTCTGGGCCTCCCTTGTCATCTTTGAACTTCAAATCTGTGGTTAAAACCATCCGTGTGCAATCAGATCTCAAACCCAGCAAAGTAAATCTGATAAATTTATCCTTTGGATGCTATTAGGTAGGTGTAGGTGCAAAGGCAATGAAAAATAATATATTATCTGTAATAAACATCTCTCTAAATGATCTCCATTTGGATAAAACAGATCTGACAACAGAGTGGTATAATCCGCTGTTCCCTCTTTGGCCTTGATTGCACTAAGTGGCTGCACCTGTGATGGCAGACAAAAGGCCCGCTTAGTGAGGTTTGGGGGATTTTTGCCTAACTGCATTGTTGCTGGTCCTGTGAGGATTTTAAAGGACTAGTTTTAATAAAATACTCTTAAACGTTTAATGTTCAGTCTCCATGGAAATTTGTTGGTAATGAGAAGGTTTGGAACAAGAGCTAATGATTTGTGCCACCAAGGCAAAACCCAATTTACCTGTATAAAATCTTTTGACGACAATATGTAAATTTTACTGTTCATCTCTGGAAAAATCTATTGAAATGTTGTTGAAAATTAAATAAATAATGCCCAGTTATTGAGAATTATTGGTAGCTTTGTAACATATAACCATAAAAACCTGGTCCTGTTCCATCCATCGGGCTGATAGATTCGATTTTTTGTCGGCCATTGGCCGAAATTATTTTTTAAAGCTGATGAAAAAAATAATATAAAGATCAGGCACTTGTGTGGCAAACTGCTGCCACTACTAGACTGAAGAAAAGACCAAAAGGACCCCAACACAGTTTTTTTTTATGTTTTGAGTTTGTTTTATATTTGAAGTTCTATAAATATGAGATACACTGACTTATTTAACTCATTCACTGCCATTGATGACTAAAGTCGTCATTTGCATTTTTTTACTGTGTGGGCGTCGGAGCGAGCCCCCACGCCATGAGAACAAACATCTCGGATCTGAAGCCGATCTTCATCCGCATACGTCACACATCACGTGATCAGGAAGCAGAAAACCCATGTGTTAGGAGATCACTTTGGGCTGCTGCTGTGGAAAAAGTGAGGTGTGAACCGAAAAAGTGTCTGCCGATCACAATTCAACAACGGATTATGAAAGAACGGATAACGCTCGAAACGCGCGGATTCTTCCTGATGTAAGAGGTGAATCTCCGCTTTATTTTGGTTGTTTTGGCGTCGACATCATCCTAGCACGCAACATTCTGTGACTCTTAAAAAATACTAAAAACGGTGAGAAACGCTGGCAGCGAAGGGCTTACCGATCAGAAAACGGCTGGCAGCGAATGAGTTAATTTACATTGCTCACAGTGAGTGCTCAGTTGTCTTTCACAGCCAATGTGCTGCTAAAACGCATATATATCAGCCTTAATAATCGGCTCTAGATATCGGCCATTGGTACAAAAATTCTTTAAAAAAACATATCGGTCGGTCTCTAGTTTTGATTCTGGTCTTTCTGTGTTTCTGGTTCTTGTTGGTTAGTTTTCTTTATTATTGTGTGTAGTTTTCCTTTTTGTATTGCCCATGTTGGGTATCTGCAGGTTTTTAACGCGCTGTCATCAGCAAAGAGGCGACATTGTCCTCTGCTGCCTGCAGATAAAAGAAAGTGATAATGTTCACGGAATAATTTTTTTACTATTTGGTTTGCTATAAAAACACAGTTCAAATATTAATTACTCAATGATTCATTCCCATTGAGTACTTTGTCCACTGGTGATTTGTACAAATAGTTGCTCATTTTTGAATGAAATATAATAAAGAAAAAAAAAACCTGTACAAATACAAACTCTTATGTTTGTTGAAATTATTTTCCTACATTTGACTTATTTAAATATTTAAAGAGACAGTGTGAAGTTTTTACCATTAATCTCTGGAAATGCCCATCAAAACTTTGTTGAAAATGAAGAAAATTATGTTTAGTTGCCCAAAATAGTGGTGGCTTTGTACCATATAACCCAAGAAATTGGGTCTAAAATACAATACACGTTCTGTTTCCTTCTGGCCACCTCGGGTTCCTGCGCCTGTAGATGACGTCACACTAGACGACTGGCTGGACATAAGACTTATAGAAGTTACGTTCAAAAACATTTAGGCAGTAAGAGACATGAATTTAATAACAAAACTGCTAAACTTTTTCCAAAACATATGCGAAAGAACAGAATCAACAAAGAGATGCAATACATTTTGGCCGAGCGGTTTTGCCGTATTCTGGTGACATCGTTAGCAGATGCAGGGCCTCGAGCAGATCCGGAAACTACAGCGCCAGAAAACTACAATCGGCATTGCATTCTCTTGATGAAATTAACTCAAGGACCATCAAAGTCTGAGGAGTCATGCGTTCTGCTCGTAACAACATTTATCGTAATGTTTTTTAATCTAGCGACAGTCACGGTGATATGGTGTACAACTATCCTGAAATGGAAATAAAGAAAGACAGAAAGAAAACAATCTTTTATATAGCGCCTCCCGAGATAAAAATCACGAGGCGCCTCACAGAAAAAATGAAAGTATAAAAAATATTTTAGAAAATGATTATAAATATGTTTAAAATTTGAGAAACACATTTTAATTGTGATAAAAAAATAATGTAAGTCACGCAAAATCCAGCTTGAACTGGTGAGTTTTCAGCTGCTTCATAAAGGAGACCATTGAGTCCACTGATGTCAGGCTAAGGGGGAGAGAGGTCCAGAGTCTGGGGGCCACAGCAGCAAATGATCTGTCACCTTTGGTCTTTAGCCTGGTGCTGCACAACCAGTAGGCTTTGATCACTGGACCTCAGGGACCTGCTGGGGGTGTGTATGTATATACTGCCCCCTAGCACCAGGAAAATACACACTGTCACTTTAATATACTTCCCAGTTGATTTGCTTGAATTTCAGAATGACTATTTCAGTGCACTTACAATGACACTTCCATTTATGCTGCAACAAAAAATAGTCCCAAACAAATAATTAACGTCTATGCAGAACGTTTTATTTAATAACAGCAGATACTGCTTAGTTTTAATTACTTGCAAGAAATCAGTGTGCTGCTGTGAATATTATGTTACAGTAATTTTGTTGTATCGGTAAATGTTTTTAAAAACTTGTGAGACAAAGAAAAGCTCAATGTGAGGTTGTCCTCCTGCCGAGGAACACAGAAATCAGTAAAGAGTAAAATACAATAGGCAATTTATCGATCTCACAAGGGATTTGTTCTCTCACAGCAGGAGCATAAAAACAAAGAGTAAAAACATCACATCAATGAGGCCTTTAAATCACAATATCAGAGGGCCTTATTATGTGGAACAAACAAAACCCACTTTATTGAACCTATAAGGAGAGATACCAAAAAAAGAGGCAATACAAGACTCTTTATTGCACTTCCAATTAATTAACTTGAGGAACTTGGGGCTCTTCCCTGCAAAAGTAAAATTGGTTGGCTACCTAGCTGATTATGCTTCCAACGTGTTTCGTTCACGACCACCCTGCATCGATTAGACCCCTTGTGTTTCTGAGTGTCTTCAGTCATTGCCGTCTGAGACAACAGTCGGCATAAGTCTAGTTATGTGGGGTGCCAAGTGGATGACAGCCTGGCAATCAAAGCTGAAACAGATGAAAAGCCAGCTGCAAGGCAGAGACCAAACAAACGTGTTGCAAATCTCACCCTCCTTTGAGCTAAAGAGCTGGTGTGCATAGTGTTGGTTAATCCATTTGACAAGTAAAACCATTTGATTAACTGTCTAACAAGAGGGGTCAAGATAAGAGCAATCATGGGCTGCAACAACTATGGGGGGCAGGAAAGGTGGTTTAGGTTGATAATGAATTAGCAGACTCTGAAAAGCAATTATTCCCTTTAATCTAGGGAAAACTATTTGTTGCTGCTGGGACTTTGCTGTTTTCTTCAGCTTTGTTTGTTTAGCAGACTAAAGTATCTTATTTGAAAATCTTCTGCCTATCTTGGCCAAATAAATAATAGCTGAGATGTGAGATCCGCCAATAACTAAGTGTTTAGCTGAGAATTACGTCCTTGTTTCCCCACAAGAAAAATAATCATAAGTTTCAATATCAAAAACACCAAAAGGCAACACAAGTCATTGTTTGATACGTATTTTTTACAGTACTGACTATCTTAGAAATGTCAAGGCCCACATCAATTCATTTTGTTTTCCAAGGTATGGAATCAGGGAGGAGCAGCGGGTCTACTCTGAGCCCCTCCCGAATGACTGAGCTTCTCACCCTATCTCTAAGGGAGAGCCCAGCCACTCTGCAGAGAAAACTCATTTCAGCCGCTTGTATCCGCGATCTCGTTCTTTCGGTCACTACCCAAAGCTCATGATAGATGAGGGTAGGAACGTAGATCGACCGGTAAATTGAGAGCTTTGCCTTCTGACTCAGCTCTCTCTTCACCACGACAGACGGTACAACGCCCGCATCACTGCAGATGCAGCACCAATCCGCCTATCGATCTCACGCTCCAGTTTTCCCTCACTCATGAACAAGACCCAGAGATACTTAAACTCCTCCACTTGGGGCAGGACCTCATCCCTGACCCGAAGAAGGCATTCTACCCTTTTCCGAATCAAGACCATGGTCTCAGATTTAGAGTAGCTGATTCTCATCCCAGCTACTTCACACTCGGCTGCAAACCGCTCCAGTGGAAGTTGAAGATCACGTTCTGATGAAGCCAACAGGACCACATCATCTGCAAAAAGCAGAGACCTAATCCTCAGGCCACCAAAACGGATGCCCTCCACACCTTGGCTGTGCCTAGAAATCCTGTCCATAAAGGTTATGAACAGAATCAGTGACAAAGGGCAGCCTTGGCGGAGTCCAACTCTCACTGGGAACGAGCCCGACTTACTGCCGGCAATGTGGACCAAGCTCCAAGCTCTGACATGGTCATACAGGGACCTAACAGCCCGTATCAGAGGGCCTGGTACCCCATACTCCCGGAGTACCTCCCACAAGGCCCCCCGAGGAGCGCGGTCAAACGCCTTCTCCAAATCCACAAAACACACGTAGATTGGTTGGGCAAATTCCCACGCACCCTCCAGGATCCCCCTAAAGGTATAGAGCTGGTCCAGTGTTCCACGGCCCGGACGAAAACCACATTGCTCCTCCTGAATCTAAGGTTCAACAATCTGACGGACCCTCCTCTCCAGAACCCCTGAATAGACCTTACCAGGAAGGCTCAGGAGTGTGATCGCCCTGTAGTTGGAACACACCCTGCGGTCCCCCTTTTTAATTAAGGGAACCACCACCCCGGTCTGCCAGTCCAGTGGGACTGCCCCCGATGTCCACGCGATATTGCAGAGTCAGCCAACACAGCCCCACAACATCCCCAGACTCTGCTTCCTCACTGGAAGACGTGTCGGTGGGATTGAGGAGGTCTTCGAAGTATTCTGCCCACCGATCCACAATGTCCTGAGTAGAGGTCAGCAGCACACTGTCCCCACTATAAATAGTGTCGATAGCGCACTGCTCCCCAACCCCCCCCCCCCCCGTCCCCGAGGTGCCGGATGGTGTACCATAATCTCCTCAAAGCTGTACGGAAGTCTTGCTCCATGATCTCAACGAACTCCTCCCATGCCCGGGTTTTTGCCTCGGCGACCACCCGAGCCGCGTTCCTCTTGGACTGCCGGTACCTGTAAGCTGCCTCTGGAGTCCCACAGGCCAAAAAGACCTGATAGGACTCTTTCTTCAGCTTGACAGCATCCCTAACCGCTGGTGTCCACCAGCGGGTTCGGGGGTTGCCACCACGACAAGCACAGACGATCCTGTGGCCAAAGCTCCGGTCGGCCCCCTCAACAATGGAAGCACGGAACAGGGTCCATTCAGACTCAATGTCCCCCATTTTTGAAGTTTTGTCGGAGGTGGGAATTGAAGCTCCTGACAGGAGACTTTGCCAGACGTCCCCAGCAGACCCTTGCAATACGTTTGGGCCTGCCTGGTCTGACCGACATCCTCCCCCACCATCTGAGCCAACTCACAACCAGGTAGAGGTCAGTTGACAGCTCCGCCCCTCTCTTCATCCGAGTGTCCAAGATATGTGGCCGCGGGTCAGATGAAACAACAACAAAGTCGATCATCGAGCTGCGGCCTAAGGTATCCTGGTGCCAAGAGCACATATGGACACCTTTATGTTTGAACATGGTGTTCATTATGGACAATCCATGACTGGCACAGAAGTCCAATAACAAAACACCACTCAATTTCAGATGGGGGGGGGGGGGGGGGGGCGTTCCTCCCAACCACACCTCTCCATGTCTCACTGTTGTTGCCCACGTGAGCGTTAAAGTCCCCCAGCAGAACGAGAAAGTCACCGGAAGGAGCACTCTACAGCACACCCTCCAAGGTCTCCAAAAAGGGTGGGTAGTCTAAACTGTAGTTTGGTGCATAAGCACAAACTACAGTCAGAACCCGTCCCCCTACACATAGGCAGAGGGAGGCTACCCTCTCATTCACTGAGGTAAACTCCAATGTACAGGTACCAAGATGGGGACAACTAGTATGCCCACCCCTGCTCGGCGCCTCTCAGTGGGAGGAACTCCAGAGTGGTAGAGTGTCAAACCCCTCTCAAGGAAACTGGTTCCAGAGCCAGAGCCATGCATTGAGGTGAGTCCGACTATATGTAGTCGGAATCTCTCAACCTCACACACCAACTCAGGCTTCTTCCCCACCAGAGAGATGACATTCCATGTGCCAAGAGCCAGCTTCTGTAGCCGAGGATCAGACCGCCAAGGTCCCAGCCCTCGACTGCCACCTGACCCCTTTGGCCCTTCCCACAAGTGGTGAGCCCATGGGAAGGGGGACCCACGTTTCCTCTTCAGGCTGTTCCCAGCCGGGCTCCATGGGAGAAAGCCCGGCCACCAGGCGCTTGCCAACATGCCCCATCTCTAGGCCTGGCTCCAGAGAGGGGCCCCGGTGACTCACGTCCGGGCGAGGGAACACGGTTTCCATTTATATTATTCATCATAAGAGGTCTTCGGGCTGCTCTTTGTCTGACCCCTCACCTAGGACCTGTTTGCCATGGGTAACCCTACCAGAGGCATAAAGCCTCAGACAACTTAGCTCCTAGGATCATTGGGACACTCAAACCCCTCCACCACAGTAAGGTGACAGCCCAGGGAGAGGAATAAAAGACATAAAACATTAAAGGAAATTAGCCGACATGAATGATTGTGTGTTAAATTAGTTTTTGAGGTGGCAACACCTAATTTGATAATGTTACTCTGGCCGTGCTCAGGACGCAGATGTCTGGAGCGCGTCAACGGTCAGAGTTTTGCATGCGCAAGCTGGTTAAGGTTAGGATGGGGGTGAGGGGAAGGTTAAATTACAAGAGGGTAAAGGTCACAATTCGGTCAAATGTCCATTTTATCGCGAGCGTCAGATACCAACGCTCTGGCACAGCGTGTCGTCTCCCGACGCGCATGGGGCTCATTACCTGCTGTCTTTTCAGAGGACTGCATCTTGTCGGTAATTATCACGTGACAGCGACTAGTCTATGAAAGGCATAAAAAGTCACTACAGAGCAATGAAGTCAACTAGTTGACTAGTTGATACAACCCCTAGTTCACACTGCTTGGGCTTCTTGTTTCAGCTTAGCTTTGTCAAATGATGAAAAAGAAAGACCATATAAAAAGATCCAATGATAATGTTGCAGGTTCCGCAGAAATGAGGAGGTGAGGTGGTACTGGATGACTGCCAGATGCCCAGGGGAGGTGTACCAGGTATGCCCTGCCAGTAGGAAGCTTCTGGGTTAACCAACGATTGAATAAATTATTTCTACATTGACCAGGGAACATCTTGAGGACCCACCGATGGAGCTGGTGGAGGCTGCAGGCAAGAGGATGCTTTGGGTCTCACTGTTAACCTCACAACCCCGATAAGCAGGTGAAAATGGATGGGTTGATGGTTTGGTAGATACATCAGGTAGAGGTGTGAATCTTCACTAGTCTCACGATTCGATTCATTACGATTATTGTGTCAGCGATTCAATTCGATTCGATATCTCGATGCATCACGATGCATCACGATTATTTCATGTGGATTTCATCTCATCAATAAATATATGTTAGACATTTGCTTTTTTATTTAACAAGAAACTTTTATTTGCATAAATATGCAGTAAACAGCTTTCTGATAACAGTCCTTGGGACAGTGTAAAAGTACAAAACATTTGAAGCTTTAGTTTGCATTTAAGAGGATTGCACAGCAAAAAAAAATCTCTTTCCTCATTAAACAATAATGTCTCAGGCTGTCGGAAAAACATGTTCTGTAGATGCTAACAAAATATTTAACAACTCTGAACAACCGTAAATGATAAATAATTATTTGGAAAGTATTCTCTCCTGTGATAACAGTCCTTATACAAAAGAGCAAAACTTTAAATTTAAGAGGACTTAAGAACATAAAAAAATATCTCCTTATTTGACATTCACTTCTCAGGCTGTGTGGGGGGAAAGAAACGTGTTCTTCAGATGTTCGCAAAATCTACCAATACTGGCATATTTTGGAAAACCCACGAATAATATATAACAGTCCTTGTGACAACAAAAAGTGCAAACATTTTAACATTTGTTTGAATTTAAGAAGATGTACTGAAAAGTAATAATGATGACTAGTTAACATTTGGAAGTTGAAGGTTTTTGTGCAAAAACACCAGTTGATCTACATGCTGTGGTTTGAGAGTAGATCTTTTGGCCATGACAACATCTCCAGCAGTGGAGAAAACACGTTCTGCAGATACACTTGTTCCAGGGATGCAAAGGTATCGTTTTGACAGTCGAGCCAGGAGAGAAAATGCAACCTTGTGTACCCTCCACCAGTTTAAAGGGTCCTCAGACAGGGGCAATGATGACGTTTTCAAATAATTATCCATTTCCTCTTCAGCTCTGACATAGGGGGTCTTGGATTCTTCACTAACCTCAACATCATTGAAAGACTGTCCCAGCAAGCTCACAAGTAATGATGTAGGCTTTCTTTTAGCAGCCGAGGGATCGTCTGCCGAGGTTCCATCCTTCTGAACTTCGGGTTGCACCGGAACTTTTGGGTGCATGGCCAGAATATACTCCTGCTGTTTAGGGAAAAAATAAAAAAATCATTATTTTATCTGATAGGGAACTTACTAGTCTGTCTAAATTGTATGGCTTTGAATATTTTAAAATATTTAATAATGATTAATCACACTTTTGAAAATGTTGATGTACCTTATCATAATATTTATTTTTATTATGATAAAAGCATTCCGGTGGATTTACTCATTTTATGCTAATGCAAATAATTACTTACAACACCAAACATGACAAATTATTAAGAATATTATACAGAAATGTATATGTTAATTCAAAAAGAAAGTGATGAATTTACCTCCAAACATGTTGCCTCCTCAGTCACTTCTCTGTAGACATCTGATCGCTCCTTCTCTGTCAGGAAAGGTAATCCTTTAAAGCGGGGATCCAGGGCCGAGGCTGTACAAAGCATTTTCTTCTCTGCCTCACTGCTGTACCTGTGCATGAGATCTGTTCTGACAGCATTCTTGATGTCGTGAATCATGGGTGAGTCGCTGATGCTGCTGGTCATGTTTTGGAGAAGTTGTGCCTTGAGTGGAGCAATCAAGGAGATGGTTGGATTGCTTTCCTCAGATATTAGTGTGGTTGCATCTTTCATTGCGTTTAATGCACTGACAGCATCTTCAGCATTAGATACATCTGTCTCGTTGAGCGTGCAGATGTCAGACTCTCCTTTTCTAACTTCCGGTGACAACAAGGTGGCACAAATGGCAGGTTGCTGTTCCAAAAACCTCTGGACCATGTCGTAGGAACTGTTCCACCTTGTTGGTACATCTGTGAGTAGTTTTTGATTTTTCAGACCCAAGCATTTCTGATTTACCTTTAAACAGTGGCTTGCTGTCGTGCTACGATGGAAGAATGTGGATATACGTCTGATTCTTCCCAGAAGCCTGGTAAGCGATGCAACTCGAAGTCCACGCTGTGATGCCAGGTTCAAGGTGTGAGCAAAGCATCTGACATGTTTGAATTTTCTGATTTGAGCTGCAAGAATCATGTTTGAAGCGTTGTCTGTAACCAGGACAATATCTTTATCTGACAGCTGCCACTCTGAAACAACATCTGAAAGTAGCTCTGCCAGATGTGCACCTGTGTGAGACTCATAAACAGCTCTCGTCTGCAGCACGTGGGAAATAATCTGCCAGTCCTCGCTCATGTAGTGTGCCGTCACTGTAATATAGGACTCTGTTGCCACTGAAGTCCAGGAATCGCATGTTATTGCTACTAAATTAGCTTTGCTCATGGAGGTTAATATCTTGGCTTTGGTTTCATCATACAGTGCAGGAATTACCTGTTCTGCGAAGTGGCTACGTGCAGGGACCTTGTATCGTGGCTCCAGTGTCTTTAACATGTGTTTGAACCCAGGATTTTCCACGACAGAATACGGTCGTAAATCCTTCGCAATGAAAGCCCCCACAGCCTGGGTTATTTTCTTCCCTTTTTCCGAGTTGGGAGGTATTATTGAGAGAGCCGCATCAATTCTTGGCTGCGCAGGGCTGGGCGGTTCAACAGCCGGTGTTATTGTTAGCAACTCAGGGTGGAAACGGCTAACATGATTCCTTAAATTGGTGGTGTTCCCGACGTACTTAATCTTGCTGCGGCAGGTTTTACACACGGCATATGACATGTCCAAATCATGTCTCCCTGATTGTTGGTAAAATCCAAAACGGCTCCATATGTCTGCTTTCAGTGTCTTTGGAGGGTCTTTTATCTGTAACGCTAACTCGGAGCTTGGTTCCGCCATGACCGTAAAGGCGCCAGTGCGCAGCTGCAGTCGTCGCTCCATTATGACGTATGAAGCAAGGGACAAAATCAGCCGATGCTAGGCTAAAAGATTCGTGTTGCGGTTGGAAAACAAACATTATGTTATAATCGATTATAGGGCGCTTCTGCATCGATGCATAATCATTTATGTCCGCATCGCAATGCATCGATTATATGATTATTTTAAACGGCTCTAACATCAGGGCAGGACCAAACACCAGTGTTTGCAATGGTAGTCTGTAGACCTGTTGAATGTGATTATAATGAACATTTGTTCATGAGGCTTGTTCCTAACAGTTTAGTTCAACTATTTCAATATACGGTGATATCGTACCATGATGTAATAGCATGGTGCTCTCTGGTTGTCTCGGTGAAAATCTAAGGCCTGATTCCAAGAATTCCTCCTGTCCATCTGAGCGTACATCTTCATTGTGGTCAATAGTTTGAAGTCACAGTGACATTGGACACTACTCCAAAGAGATTATTTCAAAGGAGGCAGAGCCTTCTGTTGCATAAATAGGACATCAAAGATGAAGACGAAGATGTGATGCAATCTTCTGTCTTATTCTTTCACAGGACACTTATAGATAATTTACAATTTTCTGAATCTGGTGAAACAGTTGGACTGAATGAACATTGGCATTAAAATTAGTTATGCCTACTAAAGGCTTTACCATAAACTCACTTTTTTTCTAAAGCGCCTTTCCTCAAGGGGTTACAGGCAGCTGGTGTCTGTCTCCAACAGTTGTCAGGCTACAGGCGATGGACACCTTGGCCAGGTTGCCAGCCCATCACAGCAACATACAGAGACAAACAAAAATGTACACTGACAGACATGCATAGGAACAATTTAGGATTGACAGTTAACTAAATATGCATGTTTTTGATCTGTGGGAGGAAACTGAAGTACCTGAAGAAACCCCACACATGCATTGGGGAAAACATGAGAACTCCGTGCAAAAGGGTCTGAGCCACAATTTGAACCTGCAAATGAACCTGCAAGGCAACACTGCAATGCAGCACACTTTGCTGTCTAATCAGTTTTATGTTAGATAAGGGCAGTAGTATGTTAAAAGACATGATGCATCTAGACTTTTACGAGGTTTGAGAAAATTAAAACTGAGGAATAGGACACTTTATGCATGTCAATATATGACCACAGCACCACATGTAATACATTAAATTGCAAATTTGCAATTGCAAACTTAACATTGCAATGGTTTTATGTCTATGAAAATAGTCTCAAGGGGAAAATATATACCTGTGTTCAAATGCAACTCATACAACAATTCAATAAAATCCTGCAAAAATCTTATTCCTTTAGGCACTGCTGGTCCAGCAGAGCCACACGCCTGCACCATTTAGATGTTTTTCTGCTCCAACACACTTGATTTTAATCAATGACTGATTAACAGGCTTCTGCAGAAATTGAGGGCATGCTGAAGAAGTTAATCAGCCATTGAATCAGGTGTGTTGAAGCAGAACAACGTCTAAATCATGCAGTATAGTAGTCCTCAAGGACAGGATAGGAGACAGCCATGATGTTCTAAGGACTAGCACCCCCCTGCTGAGAATCCAACTGGTATGCAGTAGTGGTGTGCATCTCTACCTGCATCACGATTCGATCCGATTCCGATTATCTGCCTAACTATTCGATTTGAGTCTGAAATGAATCACGATTCTTCACACAAAAATGTTCATTACTTAATAAAAGCAGTAGAATAGTTTTCAATTTCTTTTTGATTTCGAAATCCCTGAAAAACAGAACATTCATCTATTCACTATAGTGAGCAATAATGTTTAAAGTGTGCTGCCTATAATTACTTAAATAATATAAGAAATAATGTTTTCGGTAGAGCAGCTTTAAGATAGAATATTACTGAACTTAAAAATAGTAAACAAATACTGTGTTAAGTGATTCTTTCACATCCAGGATCCCAACACAGAAATTAGCCCAGACATCCGATTTAAATGTAACGGGTACATCTTTGATTACTGGTAATGTTGGCCCTGTATCCCTGTCCAATTGCTTCTAGGACAACACAGTGCGCATGTCATTGCAACTCTGCCCCCAGAAGTAATACCTCAAAATTTTATTGTCCTCGCATAGACATAGACCAGGGATCGGCAACCTGTTCCCATCAAAGAGCCATTATTACCCGTTTCCCACAGTAAAGAAAACACCGCAGCAGCCGCGGCGTTGTGGGCGGGGCCTACCCTCAGCCGGTACCGGTCGCTCGTGTACGTCAAAGTTATCTTTCATAAGACGATAATCAATAAAAGGATTTATATAAAGTGGATCCAGAAGCTGTAGCCCGTCTCTGCCGACAATATTTAGATATTTTTCACCCTGTTGGTGGTTTTACTGAGCAGGTGCCACATTTGTCATACGTTTCTTTTAAAACATGTTTAGACTGTTCAGAATACAAATCCAGGCTCTGTCACGTTTGATTGTTGTAATTAAACTTTGTAGGTGGGGAAGGTCAGAAAAGGATCCGATCATTTTGTTGTTCCCTCATTTACAGCGACGGAGATAACGGCGCAGTGCGCCTGGCTCTGGTGGTAATCAAGTTTAATTTGATCTCTTTTCACAATAAAACAGAACAGTTAAAAGCAGGGCTTGTGTTAACTGGATAGTTCCCGTATTTGACTATTTATTTTGACGGAGAAAGAATAGAAAGAATTACCCCGACGCATGCAGACGAACTGACACTTTATTCGTTTCGCACATTGCAGATGTAGCTAAATCACTCAAGAAAAGATTCCCATGTGAACATCTGAGCTGGACACTGCTCAGCGCAGCTCACTGTCAGCGCGTACGTATGGCGCACAGTGAGCTGAAGATGTGGAGAGGGGCTTGGAGCACGTCGCAGAACCAGAGCGCATGCAGATTCCTCCGACTGAAGCGAGACTTGTCGCTTAGAAAATGTTCCCTGATTATGACACTTTGGCTGAATAGCGCTTGTTCCTGTCTCCAATGTGGCGACACACCCAGGAGCCGTCTGAGGAGAATCCCAGAATCTCACATCCTCGTCAGCTCAGAATGCGCCTATGATTACGCACAAGCGTGACGCGTCTACCCGGTCTCACAGTAAGACCGGGTTGGAGCTGTTCAGGTTTACGCAGACAATCTTTACATTTAGAATTGGCATACAGATGTAAAATTAATGCAGTAAAATATAAAGCATTTTATTTAAATATCCATTCATTATTTTACAAGCACAGAGAGCCGCATGCGGTTCCAGAGCCGCGGTTGCCGACCCCCGACATAGACATAGGGAGAGAATCTCATTATGTCATGTTGCTGCATCGATGCGGAATCATGCCGGCTGAATCGCGATGCATCTTAGAATCGATCATTTTTCCCACCTCTAGTATGCAGACATTTGAGATCAGTGACACTTCAGCACAGAAAGATCACTGACCAGCAGGACAAATGTGTGCTCTTTGACCAAACCTGCTGAGCTACTGCTGATCTATCAGCCTGGCCTTTAACTAGACCTACATACACATGCTCAGCTCTTGGTTCATACAAGCATAGACACACTCACCTGAAGACACATCAAATCATCAAACCTGGATTCCAACACTAATAAAAATTCATACTTGCTACCGATATAACTGTCCAGCTTTGGGACCTAGTTTATGTGCCCTTAACAGTCAACTTTACTCATATTTTTATACATTTGTAGTGGTCTGGAGTAGGAATTAATGCTTTGTAAGTCATCCTTTGGGGAAAAAAGGCTCCGGTGTGCCCGTGTAAGGACGTAGAATTCAGCTTAAGGAGAAAGTAGCTTCAGACGACAGGATTTGGAGACTTATTTCCTGATATTTGGACATCTCTCTTCTGACTGAATAATAGAAGACTTTACCACTGACTCTGTTTGCTCTGCAACATTTATGTTTTATTTCCACAAATAACACAAGCCTGGAAGAGTTCTGCTCTGTGGTGGAGTTGCTAATGCTAGCAGTTAGCATCTACTAGCTGAGACGTTCTCTGCAGTTTCCTGGACGCTAAACAACAACAGCATTCCCCGTCGTGAGTCAAGACGGGTGAGTCCATGATTGTTCTGTGACAGTGTGACGTAGACCTGTCAGGATTTTCTAATCTTAGAGTTTTGCCACCTATTTTCTATCAGAAGGTAGTGCAGCAGATAGGTGTTGGAGACTATTTTCATGTTCAGCCTGTATGAAAAATTCAGGATTTCTGATTATAATCAGAAATAATGACAAAAAAATAGTTTTCTATGAGGTTGACCCTTAAAGAATAATCCTCCATATTCTGGCATGGCATGTAAACTATGAATTTTTTGACTGTCACATAACAAAAAAAGATATGCAGATAATCCAACAGGACATTTGTTTGCTAAAATAATGTGAAAATATGGAAAATGAAACAAAGATGACTTTTTGTTCGCTTTATCCAGCTGCTGCAGCCTTTTAAAGGTCAGCCATTATGCACGTTGCTACCATTTTTTTGTCCTGATGCAGCAAAGTACAGTGATGGTAAACATATGTATCTCTTTCTTTTGTCCCTGGCTGCACTTATCTGTGAGGGTGCAGGGCTCTGATCCTGGTATGCTGTGACAGCCTTTTAGGATTTGGCGTTAGGCTGCGTCCCCTCTTTGTTTCACCTACTTTGTATTCGAATGACAACAAGGTCGAACTGGAGTGTATTTAAAGGAGGCAGAAATTGTATTAAGAGAAGAACATACATTAGGGGTAAGTTTAGGGTCTTGATTGTTTTCTTGAAGGATGAGGAGCTGTGTCTTTACGAGTGGCTCTCACCTTCTCCATCAAAACAAGCATCCAGACGATTCAATCTGTGCTCAATCAAGCTTTGATGATTGGTATGCACCTGCAGACAAGAGTGTCTGATGCATTTATAGATCTTAAACCTGCATTGAATGGCAAATTACAAACCAGACTGCTTATTTTAAATACATCAAGATTTAAGGCTCTGCAGTTTTTGTCTGAGTAGAAAAAGAAGCGGACCTCAACCAGAGAACCAACCATTGGTAC